CGGGAGGCCGCAGGCTCAGGGGGCGGCCGGGCGGAGGTGAGGGCGGTACCGCGGCGCTTCCTGTCTCCTGGGCAGCACTGGGGGCTTCGGGATACCTTAAGGGACATCCTCCAGTTACAGGGTGATCGGCCTCTGAGATGCGTGTAGCCCGTTACCACCTCTGAGGTGTTCCCTGCGCACAGGAGGTGGCTGAAGGGGGTGGAGCAAGACTCTTAATGTGACCTCCTGTGGGTGTCTGGTTTATGTCGTTAGGTGGTTTGAGAGCTACTCAAAGTTTGAAAGCCACATCAAGGGTTGAAGGCCTGTGTAGTTAGCGGCACCCTTAGGCGAGGCTGACATAAGAGCAGGTGGAATGATTGGTTTGGGTTGCAGAGCAGGTAAATGGCAGAGTGACTTTTACTTCCTGTGCCAGTCAATGCCCTCTGTGCCCGTTTCAGTCCTGTGCTGTTTTGGTTAGCTGGTGACTGTAACTAGTCTCTGTGTGGCTGAGTGCTTATTTTTCTTCAAGGGTAGACTTCAGGTTTTAAAACTAAGGTTTTTTTCCTTTTCTAGAGAAGCCATTTTGATCGAATTCATCATGGTCTCCCGGGAATTGGTGCAGTGTCACAAAGGTCCTATGCTGATCAAGGTAATTAACTGTGAAGAATTTCTTTGGACCAAAAAAAAACCAACCCAAAACCTCCCAGAAAACCCCCTACAGAAACCAAAGCAGTGCTTCCAACTGGGCAATCATCTTCTGGGTGACAGTGGAATCCATGTCAGCATGGAGATTTAGATGAAAAATAGTGCTTATTTGCCTTATTTTATAGAAAGCTAAAGCTATAAATAGAAGTTAAACTTTATATAATGTAAGACCAGTGATGGTAATTAATATTCCAGATGTAGCTGTGGCTTGAGATATGAATTAGATACGAAGTTTATAGCTTCTGCTGTGTTCATAATCAGTAGATGTTCCATAAATACCTATTTCAGCTATATTTTCTCTTTTATAAACTACTGATTTTATGGCATTCAATAAGCATTTATCTTTTGCACTAAACATCGATAGAAGCTGAGTTAGAAAAGTATTACAATAAACTACCCAGACATCTTGGGTTATGTTCTTAAAGGACTTATAGCTGGAGGATGGGTCAGACAGAATTCAGTTCCTTCATTTCTTTTTACATTGTTTTTCCCTGTAAAGTTTAAGACTGGCTGTTTTTATTAGATCATAGGCTCCTAGAATACCAGGTTGGAAGGGACCTCAAGGATCATCTGGTCCAACCTTTCTTGGCAAACCATGACTTAGACTAGATGTCCGGGCACACTGTCCAGCCAGATCTTAAGAAGTGTCCAATACTGGGGAATCTGCAGCTTTCCTGGGGAGATTATTCCAGTGGCTGATTTTTCTCATTGTGAAAAATTTTCCACTAGTGTCCAACGAGACCCTCCCCAGGAGGGAATACCTCCAGACAGCCTTTGTGTGGAAGGCTACTTTCAGATGTGAGGTGTAATTATCTAACCCCAGTTTATTATTGCATTATTTCTAATAGCTGTTTTTCTTTTATTAAAAAATACCTTTTCAAACATGAATTATTTCAGAAATTATCAGCTGGTATTCCTGCGATAAGGTATTAGTTGCTGAAACAAAAATAACTCAAATGTTCTCTGTTTCAGTTGATGCGGATGTCACGGTTATTGGCTCTGGTCCCGGAGGGTATGTTGCTGCTATCAAAGCAGCTCAGCTTGGATTTAAGGTGAGATCTCGCTTGGATAGCAGAATATTCCTCCAGAGGAACTTGAAAGGTATTTGTGTAATACTGAAAACCTGAAATTCTGTCACATCTTGGGCCACCAGCTGCTGTTGATGTGGCAATAATCTTTCTTTACCTTGCTTACTCAAATAATACCTAAGTTGAAATGGAGATGTGAAGGTATTACTGGCTACAGACCTGCTACATGCATATCTGCTCAGGACAGCTCACTTTTGATTGGAAGTGGTGCTTGAGGAGGGCTTCAACTGTTGTGGAAGAGAAGGTGGGAAAAGAAAGACAGTGATAAAAAGGCCCCTGAAAAACTTTCCTGAAGAACAGACTGAGGGAACTCAAAAGATTAAAAACAATATTCAACTGATGTACTTTTTGAATGTGGATAGAGGAATTCCATTGCCAAGTGAGAATTTCAGAGGTGAAAATGTGTCTGTAGAAATACTATATATCTAAATTACGTTTATTTATGTTCATCTCTCTTGTTCTGTCTGTTGTCTGTGAGTACCTTTTGAGCGAGGCAACTCTATTTGATGTGTACTGATTATGTGCATTACTAATTATTGAGTATTGTGGGAGTTACATGTGCATAATGCATTTCAGATTTTCTAAGGGTGCTCAGTGCTACAGGGTTTCATTGAGATTGAGGCCTTCTGCCACGTAGGTTCATGCTGCTTTATTCTAAACCTATCTTTTGTGGCTATCTGCCTGCTTTCCTTGGAGCAGTGCTGTCCTCTCGTCCTTCATATCTGTGATTAACAAAGGGATACCATATACAAGGAGCTTAAAAAGTGCCCTGGATTCCATTTTCATCATAGCAAAAAATAGTTTCCTTATGCTGCTTCACAGCTAGTCACGGGCAAAATCCTTGGACATGCTTGCATGTGTCACCTGTAGGACTGAATAAACATGGAAAATGTTTATGATGTCCTTGAACATAAGGAGATGTTTTTGTAAGACTTATAAAAAGATGGATTCTATAGTTACACCATGTATGGAAGAACCCAAGTGTGCTTTACTGAGTTACTGAACTTGAACCTTCAGTTTTAGTGCTACCTCTGCCAGCACAAGCTTTAAGTCTTTGTAGCACCACCACAGCATCCCATGTTATTGCCACCAATATTTTCTGGGCACTGGCTTTTTAACAGCTTTGCTTGGCTTTTTTAGTTTACTTAATGTCAAGCAGATGAGGCAGAACCTCCTTAGGAGGTAAAGGTAGGAGCAGTCTCGTGCTGTTTGATCCATAGTGTAGCTTTTAAAGCCCTTGGATAATTTTACATGTGTTCATGTGCGTAAAACAGGAGGAAGGGTAGAGGCAGGTCGGTGTGTTTCTGTGATTTGATATGGTGAATTCTGCTCTTCATGTTGCCATCACTTGTACTTCAGCACAAAAGCAGCAACTTCAAGTGATGAAAGGCAGTAACTTGGGCAGTTACTTCTCACAAATTGGAGCTTTTAAGAGTATAAACCTAAGGAACTGTTATTTTGAACACGTGTGTGCCTTGCAAAGAAGGAGATGCCAGTTCTTTTGCTTCTATAGAAAAGGTTTATGATACTCTCTCCAACCCCACCCCCCCCCCCCCCCCCCCCCGAGATCTGTTTTCACTTGAATGTTTGTCAGTTGGTTTTGTGTTGGCTTTTTGTTTGGGTTTTTTTCCTTTGCTCACTTTGTTGTTGACAAGTTGATGAGAAGGAGATGAAATACTTTTCATCACTGTTGTTATTGACATTATTTTTGCTTGGTTTTGCTTTATTTGATTTTTACTTTTTCTTTCTTCCTATTGGAATATTGGTATTGGCACAACTTTATAGCTATATTCATATATAGTTATATTTATAATGGGTCTTGCAGGATACATGTTTAGAGAGGGAAATGTTGTTTGAGGTTTGGGGGTTTTGTTCCGTTTTCTTAAAAGATTCCTTCATGCAATTACAGTGAGTGCTGGTCCATTTATTTGTGGTTTGCTTGTGATTAGTTGCTTTTAGGAATCTCGTGTGAGTTGCGTTTCTTGTTTCTTGCAGATGTGTTTTTTTTCTAGTTGTAAGGGGAACATCTTTCACAGACTGAGTATTGTATTTAATTGAGGCAACGTTGTATATTTTTGAAGTAGAACAACACCACTTCAACTGATATGAAAGTACGAATGGTGCAGTGGAGAATGTGGCTCTCTTCTACTAGAGAATTTTGTTGCAAAAGCCATTTTGTGGTTTTTAAGTTAAGGAAAGAAAGGGAGGAGAAATCTGAGCCTGAAAACAAATCTAGGAATGAAATGAATGACACACTTGTAGAGGAAGAGTTACTAGATAAATGCCTGGTCTTTGTCACAAACTGTAATTTGTGATACATCCATTAAGGAAATGGTAGCATGGTATTGCTGAAATAATCTTTTTTCCTCCCTCTTCTTTTTCCTCAGACTGTCTGTGTAGAGAAAAATGAAACACTAGGTGGAACCTGTTTGAATGTTGGGTGTATTCCATCCAAGGTAAGTGGATTCAAAACAACAAATATTATATGCATCACTTGGAAAAAGATTAAGGAGTTTCTTAAGATCGGTGTACTGTGTGTAAACATTGAAATTGTAATCCAGATGAGCTGAGGATGTGAATAAATGTAAGTAACACAGAGGATTAAAATTTTATTTGCTCAATAGAAGTGTTTTGTTTGCAGACTCTGCTTCGTGGCCATAATAGATACATTTTCTCCCTTTGAGCTGTTGAGTCTGTGTTGTGACCTGTAATGAGTACTGTTTCAGATGTTTCAGGCTAAAATTTCAACAGAGGTTTAACTACAGATTCTCCTCATCCATTTTTTCTGTATCATCTTTTTGTTGGCAGTCTCTTGTCAGAAGTAATAGGGAAATTCTCCTGTGAGTCGATCAGAATCATCTTTCTTTCCTCGACTTGAAGTCTATTCCTGTGGGGCTATTTTTTAGGGGGGTGGGGTGGTGTTTAGTCCCCAGGGAGTCATTACCAGTTTCTCTGGTGAAATGAGCAAAACGATAGGTGTGGATTTAACTCTTTTCTATTTTTGTTATATATGTAAGTTTTATAAAACACTCAAGAGCTGTAAAATTTCTGTATTTGAAATACATCTTTAAATACATGTCAGACTTTCTTAATACTGAGAATATTTTGCAAATAACATGAGAATTTTTTTTCCTGATAATATAATAAATGAAATTGTGACTGCATGTCCCAGTTCACATTTCTGTGTGTTTATCTTAGGCCTTGCTGAACAACTCGCATCTGTATCACTTGGCCCATGGAAAAGATTTTGCTAATAGAGGAATTGAAAGTGAGTGTGAAGAGTAACTGGTCAGTGCCTGTTAACATAAGTGGCTTCCACCAATAAGTAAATTTAATCACTCAAATCTGACTACTGTAGCTTTCTGGTCAGAAAACTTTTTAGACTTCTAAATAATGGCCTTTTTCTGTCAGTTGGAGGGGTGGGGACATGTGTCTGCTCCTTGAATGGATAGATTAAGACAGCAGTATTACGCTTTTCAGATACAACATAGCAGTTGTTGAAGGTAACCTTTAGCATTCCTAGGGCTATTCAACACATCTTACTGTGTCAGAGCTGTTACTTGTGTTTAGCTTAGCTCCTTTAAATAAAAACACTGCAGTGCTTGATGGAAACTGTTGGCGTTTTTTACCTTAGTTGCAGGAATACGTTTGAATCTAGAGAAGATGATGGAACAGAAGAGTGGTGCAGTGAAGGCCTTAACAGGTGGAATTGCTCATTTATTTAAACAAAACAAGGTTAGTTTGGATTACATACTGAGGTATATTCATGGATTTTCTCTGATGTGAATTTCTTTTTACATTTGCGTATTTTTGACACATAAATTAATTTGAGTGGATGGACTTGGTAAGGGTAGAATTTGACTGCTTCCCTAAGAACAGTTTCTTCATTCTTAATCTACCTAGAAGTATAGTTTACGCTTACTTTGTGGTTTGTACCAGGTGGTGATGCAAAGGTATGTGTTAGTAGCTTTTCTAAAGCATTGGTGAGATTCAGATGACATGTAGCATAACTTGTGTAAGTAATTTGAATCTGAATTTACTGTGTTCTCATTACTAAAGGTTTTACATGTATCTGGGTTTGGAAAAATAACTGGCAAAAACCAAGTCACTGCAACCAAAGAAGATGGCAGCACCCAAGTCATCAACACAAAGAATATTCTGATAGCCACAGGCTCAGAAGTTGCTCCCTTCCCTGGAATTACTGTACGTATTGGAAATCTAAATGATACTTATTTTAATGTGTTATATTCATATAATTCAACATGTAACATTTTTTTTTCATCTCCCTGCACTTCACCTTTTGTGTATTTTATATATAATGTATAAAAGAGATCCTAAACCTCCCTTTGTGGATTTGTCATTAGATTGATGAAGATAATATCGTGTCATCCACTGGTGCGCTGTCACTGAAAAAAGTTCCAGAAAAGATGATTGTCATTGGTGCAGGAGTCATTGGTGTGGAACTGGTGAGAGGAAATTTAAACCACTTGGTCTTTAATTTGTAATGGAACAGAGTGTTGGGGGGGGGTTTTGTGTTGCATTTGGTTGTGTTGCTGTGATTTAACAGATGTTAGGTTGAGTTGTAGTGAAACTGTTCAGACTTCATAGCCTGCTAGTTCCTTTTCTACCAGAAAAACTGGGATAAGTGTGTGTTAGCTAAGCAGAGAATTGGGACAACAACATACAGAGCCTCACATACAGGTGTTGGGGTTTTTTTTTGGGGAGTGGTAACTTTCACTGAGGCTTGTACCTGCTTAAATGTATGATGACAAAACTTGTGTTTTAAGGGAAGTCCATTTTAAACCAGGACAAATCCCTGTGTGTAGCAGTTAATTCCAAGAAATGTTAATGTAATATGACTGTGCACATCTAACATATCTAACAACTGTAGGAGTGGAGACTGTAGTTCATCTTGGTCTGAGTCCTTTTGTCTCATACCTATGTGGCTCAAAAAGAATGTGTATTTGCTGCCCTTGAAAACTTGAACATCTACTTAGTATTTGCTTAGCCTGTTTTGCTGACTGTTAAGGAGGGAAAGAGTAAGAAATGTGAAATACTGCATTGGATGGATGTGAGTAACTGCAGGTAAATAGGGTGTGAAGCTGATTGTAGTGGTTATGGTTATAAATACATACACAACCAGCAGTGGCTCCATTTTATTGCATAAAGTTTCCTTAATGTGGTATTAGAACACCACAAGCAATTCCCTTTGGGTTTTCTGATATACATTCAGATTCTTTGATTATAATTTTTTTCTATACCTATCACCTAAATCATACCTAATTTGTACTGAATTATTTTGTTAGCTATTTCTTTAAAGGCTTATTTCTGTGAATTCAGTTGTTGAAGTTTTGGGTCTGCAAACAAGCAGTGATAAGTCCATTTTTTTTGGGAAAGGCTGGGGAAAGTTGGACTTGTTTTATTCTACACTGTAACATTTGGAAAAACTGATGAGTTTGCTGTTACCTGTTACCCTTCTATCTGTGGCAAATATTGAAGAAATCTGAAGTTTGCTTTTCAGAACTTTTTTTACCCATATTGTGACTGCAGGGTTCAGTTTGGCAGCGCCTCGGTGCAGATGTGACAGCTGTTGAGTTCATGGGCCATGTTGGTGGAATGGGAATTGACATGGAGATCTCTAAAAACTTCCAACGTATTCTTCAGAAACAGGGATTTAAATTTAAACTGAACACCAAAGTTACTGGTGCTACCAAGAAACCAGATGGAAAAATCGATGTGGCGTAAGTGTTCAGCAGAAAACTAAGAGTGCCATATATATATTTCTTCTCAATCCATCAAACAGTCTAACATTACTTTTTAAGTAGGAAAAAACAGATTAGATTTAGGTTGAAACTTAAATCTTTAGCAAAGTTTATTTTTTGATCCTCTGTTGTAGCTTACAGAGCTCATAATTTTGGGTTTATTGAGTCCCAGATTGCTTACCCAGGAGAGATTCCATTGACTTGAGTTGAAGATGTGCTAATATAAAACCAGTGGTGGTGTAGTGAGATCAGCAATAAAAATTCCAAGTCATGCTTTTTATGGAACATAAATATCATGATTGCTCATACAGTCATTTTCAAGCCATTAATTCTTGGCTACTTACTGTAAGGGTTATTCTGTCCATACCTCCTCTTGTCTCACAGTAAGCGTGGCAGAGATTTTATTGCTTTTGAGCAGAAATAGATGCAACTACCTCAGAGTGTCTTTTAATGACCACACTCAAGCCCTTTGAAGACGTGGAGATGAAAAGTTAATATAGAATAATAACAGCAAATTTGCTTTGTAGAAGTCCATATATATACATTACTGTTGTTCTTGTTAACGTGTTCTCAATGCAGAAACTGTAGGTTTTTTTAAGGAAATGCTTAACATTACATTTAGAGTTTCATTTTGGTTTAGGAGTATTCTGGTGAAACATACTTCCTACTTATTCTCACATTGTGTGCTTTGGTTCTTGTGTGCTCAGAGCATGTGAGCTGAACTTGTTCTGGGTGCAGTTAAACCCAAAGATGCACTCGAGGAGTGCACCTGGTGCAGGGTAGTTGCTAGCAGGTGTTTGGTTCTGTGTGCCAGAAGAAAGCTTGATTAGAATCAGTGGCCCACCCCATATACATATACACACACATATATATCTATATCTATAT